AATTATTAACAAATAAATGTTTCGAAAAGAATTTTTACAGAAAAATTTTTCTTAGAATTTTCAGTTGTAAGTTGTAACTGAAATATTTTGAAAAAAAAATTATATTTAAAAAAATTCTAGTAAATAATTTATAGTATTTATTTATTTACATTTATTTATTTATAGTAAAGATTCGATAAACTTTCGGAAATGTGAAAATAAAAATCTTAAATAAAAAATAACTTTCTTTTATTATTACTAAAAAATTTTTTTACTTATTCTCTAATATTTTAGCTGAAATTTTGAAAGAAACTAAACTAACTAAAATTAAACTACATTAAAAAATAATTAAATAAAAAAAATTAAAAAATAAAAATAAAAAAAGTTTTCAAGAAAAATATAAAATTAAACACTAGAAGACAAAAATTAAAAATAAAACTTTATGAAAAAAACTACAAAAGGAAAGTGTTTTAGAATAATTACGAAAAAAAAATCTTTCTCTTGAATGCAAACATATTTTACAGTTCAAAATAAACATAAAGTTTATAAAAACAAAGAAACTTTCAATTTTCCAGTTTTTTACGTCGAAAAATTTTTTTTTAACCAAAAATGGAAATTATTGTCAAGCGCAAAATGTTAGTAATTTTATGACAAACTTCATATATTTTTCTTAATTTGCTAGTTTACTTGAATGTATGTAAAAAAAATTTTGGAAAATCTTTCTAAAATTTTTTTTTATAAGCTAATTGATTTTGTCAATTTTACTTAAAAAATTCTTTGAAATTTTATTTTAAAAAAATAAACAAAAAAAATTCATGAAATCAAATTTAAAAAAAAATAAAGGAATTTTAATCCGAATTCTGACAAGTTTTCTCATCAAACATTTCAATAGGAATTTTTCAAAATTCTTTTCAAGTGGGATTTTCATGAAACTTGCATAAAATTTTCCTGGAATTTAAATTTTTTTAATTTTGCGAAAAAATTTCACAAACCTGCAAAATGTGAATAATATTTTAGTGACATCGCAAAATTAAATTATTGATTAAATTTTTGACAAAATTGTAAAATTGTAAAAAAAATTCCATTTGGTTTGTATTATACACTGAAAAAAAATTTAATTGATTCAAATAACCGATTAATTGACTATTATCAATTAAATATTTACTTGAATCAAATAATATTTATTGAAGTCAATTAAATGGTATTTGAACCAATAATTTTAGTATTTGAAGCAAATACCATTAAATTGACTCCAATAAATATTACTTGATTCAATTAAATATTTCATTGATTATTTCTAGAATAAATTTACTAATTTTCCATTCAATTTTAACTTCGAACTTAATAAATATTTTAATATTATTATTATAATATTATTATTGTTATTATTTTATTCTTATTTTTTTATTATTGTTATATTATTTTATTCTTATTCTTTTTATTATTGTTATTATTATAAATAATTGATAAATATATTTTCTTTTTGTTTTATGCAATTAATGTCCTCTTATATGATTTTAATTCTGCTTTAGTTCAGTGACGCCACCGCTAGATGGTTCCAAAAAATAACATTTTTTATTTTATTTGTATAATTTCTGTTCTTTTCGTAATAATTTTTTACAACTTTCTTTTTAAGTAAAATCCCTTGCATTTAAATTTACTAATTTTTATTCATTTAATTAAATAACTTAAAAATTAAATTTACATAAAAATAAAAAGGATATCAAATTGAGACAAAAAACGAATTAAAACTGTTGCGTAGCAACGATTTTGATTCGTTTTTTGTTTCAATTTGATATCCTTAGAAAAACAGTGAATTTTAAAAGAATTCTAATGTTAATGATTAGTTGATTTGATTATAATGAAAAGTTAACGGAAAATATTTTTCGAAAGTGCGGCAAGTACATATCTATACAGAGAGAGAGAGAGAGAGAGGCTACTATATATTTGATAACGATAAAGTTGGTGAATAGAAGAGTGAGAATTAGTAAATTATTTATTAAGCTTCACGACGCAGGGGGAATCAAGCGTTTTAATAATTAAAGGGAAAGTAGACTCCAATTCCAAGTTTCTTGACGTCACTTTGACTAGAGTGAGCACGATTTAATTTAACATTCATGTGGATTTGCATAAATACCGCTGTTCAAAGCAATAGGATGCTTTAGAATCTCAGGAGTTTCTTAAAGAAGATTTTGCACCATTGTGCATTGGTCTGTCGATAAGATTGACTAAAGTGCTTTTCCAAAGTTAAATGAGAGATATATACATAAAAGTAACTTTGATTCCTTTGCCCCCTCACTATTCTTTTCTTTTTCAAATTTTAATCCATTCCGGTTTGGAAGCCAAAAAATTAAATTTTTCCCACTTTTTTTTTCAAGAGAATTTTTACCAAAAATGTCGTCTTGGGCAGTAAAAACTTAACAAAATTAATTTCTACTGATCAAATATTGTTAATTATAATAATGACTTTATTAATTAAACTAGCAAATGTTACGCGCGCGGAACGTGATATTCAATTTATTATTATTATGCAAATTACAAAATTTTTTATTTTCAAGAAAATTTTAATAAATCCTTCGAAATAATTGAATTATTTTTTAAAATAGTAAAATCTTTGCAAAAATCCAATTAATATTAATAAAATTTCACGAAAGAATTAAATTTTTTTCTTAATCCGTTATAAAATTATCCAAAAGAATTCAATTTATTTTTAAAATTTTAATAAAATTTTTTCTAAAAGTTTAATTATATTCAATGCAATCTCAATTAAATTCCTCCAAAGAAGTTAAATTTTAACGAAACTATTATGTTATTTTTCAAAAATTTTAATGAAAATCTTATCAAGATTTCAATTATTTTCATAAATAACATTTTTTAAAGAATTTCAATTATTTTCAAAAATTTTAATAAAATTCGTCGCAAAAATTTAATTATCTTCATAAAAAGAAAAATCCTTTTGAAGATTTCCATTATTATCTCTAATAATAAAATTCTTCCGAGGATTTCAATTATTTTCAAAAATTTTAATAAATTTCTTCGCAAGAATTCAATTATTTTCAAAAATTTTATAAAAATTCTTTTAAAAAATTAAATTATCCCCATAAAAAATAAAAATTCTTATGAAGATTTCAATTATTTTCTTAAATAATAAAATTCTTCCTAGGATTTCAATTATTTTCAAAAATTTTAATAAATTTCTTCGCAAGAATTCAATTATTTTCAAAAATTTAATGAAAATCCTTTTAAAAAATTCAATTATCCCCATAAAAAATAAAAATTCTTATGAAGATTTCAATTATTTTCAAAAATTTTAATAAATTTCTTCGCAAGAATTCAATTATTTTCAAAAATTTAATGAAAATCCTTTTAAAAAATTCAATTATCCCCATAAACAATAAAAATTCTTATAAAGATTTCAATTATTTTCTTAAATAATAAAATTATTCTATAGGATTTCAATTATTTTCAAAAATTTAAATAACATTCTTTTTATAAATTCAATTATCTTCATAAAAAATAAAATTCTTTGGAAGATACCAATCATTTTCATTAATAGAAAAATTCTTCGGAGGATTTCAATTATTTTCAAAAATATAAAACATATTTTTGTCAAGAAATCCTTTCGAAGTAAAAATAATAGCAAAAATTACATTTACTTTTTATAAATAATAAAATTCTCCTGAGGAATTCAATTATTTTCAACAATACAATTTTTAAAAAACTTCAAAATTCAAATAGATCATTATAATTATTAAAAGTCACGATTATTTTGAAAAGTTTGAAAAAAATTCTTTGTTTCATTCAATTACTTTCAAATGTTTGAATGAAAATTATTTTAAAAAACTACATTATTTAAAAAAAGCACACTAAGAAATTCTTCAGAAGAATTAAGAAATTTTAAATTTATTTTGGAAAAAATATTCACAAAATTTCGATTGTAAAATTCTTTTAAATAAAATTCTTCTTTAAATCAATTATTATTTTTAATAATTTTTGAAAAAGTTTCTTTTTGAGAATTTTCAAATCCATTTGTTTACAATTCAATTTTATGAAATTTCAATTATTCAGAAATTCTTCAATTGAATAAGTATTAAAAATTAAACACTTCAAATAATTTCAGAAAAAAATTCAATTAAACTTTTTCAAAATAATTAATTTTACAAAATTGTTAGTTATAAGTAAGAAAAATTAAGATTTTCAAAAAATTTAATGTGAAACCTTTTGAAAATTCAATTATTTCTTTAAATTCATGCTATAATGCTTTCAATATTCAAATATTATTTGAATCTTTGAATAATTTGAACATATTCAAATCTAAAATTTTAACTAAAATTAATTTTTAAATCAATTTTTATTAGAAAATTCTACGTGAATTTAATTATTTAAATGCAAAAATAAATAATTTATTCAATAATTAAATATTTCTTAAAATTGAATTTTCATAAAGAATTTTATCAAAACATTTTTACGTAATTAATTTTTTTTGACGATTTTCAATTCAAATTGAAATTTTGCCAAAAATTAAAAATTTATTTTATTAAAAATTTTTAAAAAATTGAATTTTGACAAGAATTTTGTTAAAAACTTTAAAAATAATTGAATTTTGGAAAAGAATTTGATTACTTTTGAAAATAATTGAATTTATGCAATCATTTATAATTTTTTGAAAATTCAATTTTGTTAGTGTTTTTGAATAAAATTCGTCTATAAATCCACTATTTTTAATAATTAATTAAATATATATATATTAAAAAATTTAACAAATTTCCTAATATAAAAATTTAACCTAAATTTTAGGTTATGTCAAAATAAGTAAGATTTTTGATAACTAATTCGATACGTAACTTTGAGTATTTTCTTAGTTATTTATAAACTAATAATTAGCTATTCTCCACAAATAATTATATAATTATAGTTATTTTCTACTACAAATGTTATTTCTTAATTATTTAAAATTTGAAATCAATTATTTAAATAAAGTGTATGTTCTCAAAAAAAAAAAAAAAATTGTTTCTTTCCAGGTGATATGGGTCTGCATTCTCTGTCGAAAAAAACAGGAATTGTTGTCAAAAACCGGACAATGGATGACAAAGACAAATCTTGGTCCGGCGGACAACGCGATGCTGAGGCGAATGCAAGAGGATATGCAGGGAGGAGTTTCTCCAGGACATCAGGAACAAATTCAGGATAAAAGACCAAAATTAGAAAGAGCTCATAGTGCCGCGGAAAAGGAAAATCTGCCATTACTCCAACGGAGTGCAAGTGTACTCAGGAAGCAGTATTCGCAACAGGAAACGGTAATTTTAATCAATTTTCCAAAAATTTATAAAAAAAACCCAATTAAAAAAACTTGTATAAAATTTTACCTATAGTATCATTCTAGAACCTTCATTCACTTATTCATTCATTCTGTAGAATAATTCTACAAAAATTCTGATTAACATTCTGTAGAATTTTTCTAGAATAATTCTCAGAGAATTTCTACACAAATTCTAATAAATATTAGATGGAAATTTGCATAATTATTTTTTATAGATGTTAAATTATACATTATTTAGAATTTTTTAAAATTTATTAAGAAATTATTAAAATAAATTAAAGTAAAATTAAAGGAATCTTTGTCTGAGTGTCTTCATTTTTCTGTCTTAAAATAAATTAATATATTACTAATTCCAAAGCAAGAAGTCAGTAAACATTTTTAATTATAAGAATTACATACAGGGTTGCCAAAGGTCAGGGAATTCAGGGAAAAGTCAGGGATTTTTATTAAAAATACTGGAAAAAAATATATTTTTAGAATTCATAAGAAAATTCTGAATTTTGGTGTCTTTCCTGTGTTTGCCTCATAAACTATGATTTTACCACGAATTTTAATACAAAATTTTCAATTTTTTCTATTTCTGACAATAATGAATTTATAAATAACTCAATTCTTGAAAAACTAATAATAAAGTTATTACTTAGAAATTATTAAATGAATAATTTTACAAAATTAATTGAATTTTGACAAAATAAATAAATAAATTTTAAAAGAGTTGCGTTTATAATTTTCATCAATAAATGGAATTTAAAAGGTTTTAATTTCAATTTTTATAAAATTTAAATTTTTAATAAATTTAATTAGAAATTTTAAAGGACTTGGATTTTTGAAAATTTTTAATACCTAACTCAAATTCTTCTGAACTTAGTTAAATTTTTTAATACATATTTAATTAATTATTAAAAATAATGTATTTATAGAAGAATTTTAGTTTAAAAAATTAAAAAATTAAATTCTTTATAAGAATTCACTTATTTTTAATACAGATTTTATCAATTTTTGCAAGAAATTAGAAATAATTGCAGAAATTCAATTATGTTCAACAATTTTTAAAAATTCTAGTCAAAATATTAATTATTTTTATAAATAATAAAATTCTTCTTCGAATTTAAATTATTTTCAAAAATTTTAATGAAATTCTTGGCAAAATTTCAATTATTTTTATAAATAATACAAATGATTTCAAAAATTCAATTATTTAAAAAAAAATAAAATTTTTCGTAGAAAATCAATTATGTTCAAAAATTTTTTTAAAATTCTTGGTAAAATTACAATTATTTTTAAAAATTTTCCTTAATTAAAAGATTTTCGATATCTACTATATTAATAACATTTTCCAAACAAATTCAATTATTTTCGAAAATTTTCATTATTATAATCAAATTTTCGAAAGGAATTCAATTCTATAAAAGAATTTAAATAATTTTCTACGCAAACATTTAATTATTTTCATAAATAATAAAAATTTCCCAGGAATTCAATTATTTTCAATTTTTTAAAATAAATTTAAGTAATTTAAGTAATTGAATTCAAACAAAATTTTCTATAATCAAAATTGATTTAAAAATGGATTTCACTTAAAATTTTATAAAATAATTAAATTTTGAAAAGGTTTCAAATTAAAATTTTTGCAAATTTAAATTTTTCGTATTTTTAACTGATAATTTTGTAGAATCAATTTTTTTAATAAAATTTTAATTAAATTCCTCAAAAATGTAATTATTCTTAAAAATCTTAATAAAATTCATCCAAAAAATTGGAAAGGTATATGATTTAATAATTTCTTGAAAAAATTCTTTATGCTAATTTAATTTTAAAAAACATCCAATTATTCCATAAATGATTTATTTTTGTATTTAAGTAATTGAATTCAAGTAGAATTTTGTGATAAAAATTGATTTAAAAATGAATTTCACTTAAAATCTTGGATAATGATTGAATATTAAAAGCATTAGAGCGTGAATTTTTAAAAATAATTGAATTTTGATAAAGTTTCAAATTAAAATCGTTAAAAATAATTTGAATTTTTTTAAAAAGTTTTATTGAATTTATTTAAAATTTATTTCAAGTTTATTATTTTCTAATAAATGTTTAATTGAAGAATTTTCGAATAATCAAAATTTCATAAAATTGAATTGTATACAAATAAATTGGAAAATCCTCAAAGAATTTTTCGAAAAATTATTAAAAATAATTGATTTTAGAACTAATTAAAATTTTAATCGATAAAAGTTTCAACTTCGGTTTCAACAGCTTAGAATTTAAATTTACTTTAATATAAATTAATTTAAAAATTTCAAAACTAGTTTTGATTAAAATTATTGTAAAAAGTTTACAAAATGGATGAAATACTCTCTAAATTTGAATTAGTAAAAATGTTTACTTATTTGAATTATAGTGACTGCCTTTTTGCTTTTGAATTAGTAAATTTTACTAATTACTGGAAATTATTATTTATTAGTAAAATTTAATAATTGAAAAGCAAAAAGAAGTCAGTCACTAATTGAAATAAGTAAACATTTTTTATTAATTCAAATTTAGAGAGTAGGTGAAAACTGAAAATTAATAAAATAGGTGTATTTGGAGCTCAAATTTAAAAAAAGGTGAAAAAGGTAAATAGGTGACAGTCTGTGATCCCTAAAATATATAAAAATAAATATTAAATATCTATAAAAAAAATTGTTTAATTTATTACCTAATATTTACTAGGATTTATGTAGAAATTTTGTTAGAAATTTTTTTTGTAAAACTCTATAGAATAACTTGATTTTTTTCTACAATCATTTTATAGAAATAATCTAGTAAAATTCTATAGAATTGTGAATGACTACAAATGACTTTTCCAATTTCCAAATATTTTCCTCTTTTACATTCTTCCAATTTCCTTTCATTCTATTTTGAAAAATCTTACAAATTTCTCCTCCAGAAGTGCGGAGGAAAAAAAAAAAAGAGTGGAATTAATAATTAATGTCCATGAATAAAAATAGCATTGATATTTGCATTCACATAGTTTTATATTTTATATAGGTATCAGGGAGGCGTATGTCTACGAGTGACAGTGGGGTGGAAATGGCAGTTTCACCTCATTCGAGAAGCTTACCGACTCCACACGTAGTCAGTTCTTTTCAATCGCAACAGACACCAAGGCATCCTGGTGCTTTTCCTGAGGACGATCCTAGTCTATATCGTGGCGAACTCGACGGACTCATGAGGGAATATCAGAGACAACAAAATATTTATCAAATGGTATGAAAAAGAATAGCCACCTTTTTACATTTTTTTTTTTGTTTTTCTTGTTTCTTTCTTTCTTTGTTTATCATCTCATTTGAAAAATAATTTCCATACAAATCTTACGAAAAATCAATTACAATGTTGAATAGAACAAACGTCACTACTGCATCGCAATTTAATACAGAAAGACGTAGATTTTATTTTTTAATTTTTACACAAAGGATTCCTTTCATTCTTCTGCAAAATTAGACGGAAAATTATCCATCAAAGTTGTTAAATTGAAGAAATATTTTTAATCGTTTAAAATTATGTAAATTAAAACATTAAATAAATTTAACAAATTAAATAAATTTAAAAATTAAATGAATTGAATAAATTTAAAAATTAAATAAATTAAATAAATTTTAAAATTAAATAAATTGAAGAAATTAAATAAATAGAATAAATTAAATACAGTGTCACATTTGATTATTGGAAAAATAAATATTCCTTTATGTCCAATTTATTTTGAGTCAATTAAATTTAATTTACTGCAAATACGGAGAAATTATTGGTTTAATTACATTTAATAAAATTTTATACGCATTTAAATAAAAACTATTTCATTCAAGTAAATTTTTAATAACTAATTTGATTATAATTGATTGAGAATTTATTATTTATTTATTTATTAACTGTTTATGTTAATAATCGATTTATAAGAATTGAGTAAACTTTTTTCATTCTATTTGCTAAATTTTTACGGTATTAAAATTTTTAAATATTAACAAAAAAGTTGTTAAATTATTCAAATACAAAAAAAAAAAATATTTTCAGAAGACAATTTTAGTGATAAATGATTAAAATATTGAAGTATTGTTAATTGGAAAATTCTATTATTACTAATTATTAATATTAATTATCACTAATTATTTTTATTTTTTTTTAATTTTCTGATTTACACAAATTCAGTAGTAATAAACAACTTTAGTCAGACATCAGGATAAATTATTTGTTTCAAGTAAATTTTTAATTGCTAACAGGAAAATAGTTGATTATTTGTATAGCAAAATTTTTTAACAGATTTTGAATTCAGTAGTCAGTCATCAGGGAAATTATTTGTTTCAAGTAAATATTTATTTGATAATAGAAAAATAATCGTTTAGTTGAATCACAATTTCTAAATAACCTCAAATTCAGTAGTAACAACAAACTTTAGTCAGACATCAACGAAAACATTACTATTTCAATAAGTAAATTTCTGAAATCCTCTAATGCTATTGTCAGAAATTGAAAATAGCCTAATTGTTTATTTTAATTATATTTCATTATATGAAATTACATAAGTATCACTTATTGTTAGTTACAATTGTATAATTAGCAGCTAATTACAACTATATAGTTATAATTATGAAATTATCACTTAATTACTTTGATTTTATTATAATTATATAAATAGTTACATAATTATATAATTATTTAATTCATTCATAATTGTAATTAATTTACCATTTCCTTTTTGTTAATCAATTTAATTATTACTAATTTAATTAAGTTATTGCATTATTTTGTGTAATTAATTCATTGGATTTTTTTTTTTTTTTGCTTTCAATTTTTGTTTCATTTCTTTTTCATTATCGATACTTTTTCTCTAATATGAATAATGTAAATGTACAGTGTTACCATTTAAAAGTGTTCTCATTTTTTATTCTTTTCATTTGCAAGGCTTTTTGTCATATTCTGAAAGTAAAACAGATTATTAAATGGTACTTTCAGAACATTTTTCAAATACATTCACATATATTATATATATATGCTTCTCATATAATTACATGTTTCTTATATAATCACATGAAACATAAAAACATGAGAAAGAAATTATTTTCGCAGTAAATAATAATTTTATCATTTAGAATAGAAAAATAATTTTACTAAATAAAAATTTATTAATTTTACAATTAAATTCGTAAATAAGTAAAAGAATTTGTTTTTTGATTATCTAATAATTTTTATAGCTTCAGAATTTTTTGTTTAGGGTCAGGGAAAAAGTTAAAATTTTGTCTGTAAATAAAAAAAAAAAAAGAAAATTAAATGTTGAAGATTTTTTTTTTTTTTTTGAATTGTTGAATTATTTTTTTGGAAATTCTTTACAGGAACAAAATTCGGATGTGGCGATGGCCTACGGTCATCCGGTGGAACAGAGTTCTCGACCTCCGATTCATCCAACACATTTAGTTCATTCGCAACAAGGTGCACATCCCTCTCAACCATGTCCACCATCAGCTGGTGTTCAAGGTCCTCTTCAGCAACAAAGAAGCTTCAGTAGCAGTGAGGAGGAGAGAAGTACCCCCGAGTGTGCTAGCGACGAGCCGGACGAGTCTGAAAAGGGTGAGTCAACCTTTCATTTTAATGAGCGCGTCCGCAAAACTATATAATATATACATATGCGTCTAATAAACCACGAGTCACGGACTCAACTCTAAACGCGACCAATAACTTTCTTTTCTGCCAAGGAAATTCAATTTTCCATTCAGGAATTTAAAAAAAAAAAAAAAACTAACAAATTTATTCGATAACTCGATTTTCTATTAATTATTTATTTATTTAAACTTTTAAATCAAATAAATAAATAATAAAATAAATATCATCTTAGTTATTTAAAAATAACGATTTCTAATTATTGTTTAGACTTTAAAAAGTGTCTGAAAAATGAAAAAATCAGAGTGTCTTCTAATTTTGAGAAATATATATAATATACTCTACCGTCTGTGAGTATCAGGACGCCCCCTTTTTTCATGAGTGGAAAAATGCTTAAAACGTGGGAAATAAGAATGAAAAAAATTTTTCGTATTTTTTTCCTGAAAGCTAATGTAATTATGAAAAGACTGACACCTGATCGAAGAATTTTCGTTGACTATTCTGTCAAATACAGAAAAAATACTGGATTTTGCATGCATTTCGTAATTTTTTAATTTCTCGAAAACTAATTAACTATTAACTTTTATTAGCGCTCTTGGCCTTGCTTTAATCTCTATTTAATGTAGAATCTATATTATTAACTGGTATTGTGAAATAAATTTTTTCCAAAAAAATTTGAAACCGTAAAAGTAGGATTAAAAAAATTCAAAAAATTATCATGAATATTAAAGTGTCAAAAAGGTTAATGTAAAATATGTTCATTTAATAGATATACTAAAATTTAAAAAAGCTTTTTAATTACTTAATTATTTAATTTAAAAAAAAAATTTTTTTTGTTGAAAAAGGGTCAATCTGTTTTTCAAAATTTTTTCATCCGACTTTCACAGTTTCAAATTTTTTTGGAAAAATTAATATCACAATACCATTAATTAATTTAGATTTTACATTGAATAGAGATTGAAACAAGATCAAGATCGCTAAAAAAAAGTTAATTAGTTATCGAGAAATTAAAAAATTACGAAAAGCATGCGCAAAATCTAGTATTTTTTCTGTATCTGACACAATAGTCAACGAAAATTCTTCGATCAGGTGTCAATCTTTTCATAATTTCATTAGCTTTCAGGAAAAAAATACGCAAAATTTTTGTCATTCTTATTTTCAAAGTTTTAAACATTTTTCCAATCATGAAAAAAGGGGCGTCCTGATACACACGTGTATATTTGAAAATAAAAAATTCAAATAATATAATTTTAAAAAAATCAATTAAAATTTTTCAAAATTCAATTATTATCTAAAATTTTAACTGAAATTAATTTTTAAAACAATTTTTATTAGTAAATTCCACGAGAATTCAATTATTTAAATATAATAATAAATAATGTATTAAATAATATTGAATGTTTCTTAAAATTTAATTCCCATATAAAGAATTTTATCAAAAAATTTTAAAAACAATTGAATTATTTCCACAAATTTTAATAAAATTTTTAAGAATAATTACTTTTTTTGAGGAATTTGATTGAAATTGAATTAAAAATAATTTAAATTCTGCATTGAGTAATGTTATTTATGAAAATAATTGAATTCCTAAGAAGAATTTTATTATTTTTGAACATAATTAAATTTCTGCAATAATTTGTAATTTCTACAAAACTAAAAATTTTTTTAGTGTTAATTAAAATTTTTCTATAAATCCATTATTTCTAATAATTTTTAAAAAATTGATAACTTCGTATATATATTAATTTTAAAAAAAAATTTTTGAGGATTTTCAAATTCATTTATTTTTAACTGAAATAAATGTTTAAATCAATTTTTATTAGAAAATTCTACTATAGAATTAAATTATTTAAATACAAAAATAAATAATTTATTGAATATTTGAATGTTTCTTAAAATTTAATTCTTATAAAGAATTTTATCAACAAATTTTTAAATAATTAAATTCATTTGACGAATTTTTCAATAGAATTTTTAATAATAATTACATTTATCGTGGAATTTGATTAAAATTCCAGTAAAAATAATTGAAATACTGCGATAAGTTTTACTATTTATGAAAATAATTAAATTATTAAAAGAATTTTATTATTTAGAAGAATAATTAAATCCCTGTAAAAATTTTATTATTTAGAAAAATACTTGAATTATATTGCGAAGAAATTTAGAGAAAATTTTTTAAATAATTGAATTTCTGTGAAATTTTTATTAATTTTTAAAAATAATTAATTATTTTAATAAAATTTTTGCGTAGAATTATATTAAAAAATTTTTTTAACAATTGAATTTTTTTTTTGGAAAAATTTATTAATATAGTAGATATTAAAAATAATTGAATAGAAAAAATTTTTTCAAAGTAATTCAAATTGAATTGAATTGAATTGAAATTGAATTAAATTGTATTTGAATGGAAATTAAATTGCAATTAAATTGTCTCAAAAAAAAATAATTCCACAGAATTGTTAGGTAGTTAAAAATATAAAAAATTCAGATTTTCAAAGATTTTAATTTGAAACCATTTCAAAATTCAATTATTTCTAAAACTTCACGCTCTAATGCCTTTAATATTCAATTATAATCTAAAATAGTAAAATTTTAACTAAAATCCATTTTAAAATAAATTTTTATTAGAAAAATTGAATAAACAAATAATTGAAATTCTGCAATGAGTTTTGTTATTTATAAAAATAATTGAATTCCTAAAAAGAATTTTATTATTTACAAAAATAATTGAATCCCTGTAAAAATTCTGTTATTTATGGAAATAATTGAATGATTGCGAAGAAATTTATAAAAAAATTCGTAAATAATTGAATTCCTGTTAAATTTTTATTATTTTATGAAAGTAATTAAAGGTTTACGTAGAATTTTATTAATTTTTTTTAAATAATTGAATTCTTTTGGAAAATTTTATTAAAATTTTTGAAAATAATTGAATGTTAGCAAAGAATTTTATTACTTTTGAAAATAATTGAATTTCTGCAATCATTTGTCATTTTTTTGCAACTCGAAAATTGTGGATCAAATAAAAAATTGATCAAAATTATTTTTGTCATCATTTTGATCTACTTTAGTATCAATTTGATACATTCAAGAAAATGGTTTAAAAAAAAATTAAAACTTGCTGCAAAATTATCTACAATTTAAAGAAATAAAGAAAAATGTTTTTAAAGTTTAAAAGAAATTTCTCTTAATTTTAAAAGTAATAAAAATCTTTTAATAAAACTTATCAAATCGACGAGGTTTTTTTTCGTTAATTATTAACGTAAATATAAAAATACAATTTGCTAAAAAAAACCAGGTCAAATTATTTGTAACCGATTTTTAACTTTTTTTTCTTCCCGTTAAATAGAAACCTTTAGAGTAAAGGGTTAAAAAATTTCTTTTTTTCTTCCATTTTCCTACTTTATTTTATTATTACTATAACATCGTCAAATGTTTGCTTAAGAAACTGAGAAATAAAACACATTTTTTAATTTGCATAAAAAAAATTATAATAGAAGACACTCTGAAATTTAAAAAATTTCTCTTATATATAAAAAAATATTCATTTCCTCTCAGTATATTTATATATACCAACAGGGGAAATTGACTTTCAACCCCTTTTTTTATTGGCATTTAAAAACGTAGGATGCTTTAGAAATTCTTTGTGGCAGCAAAAACTAAACTATTTTTAAGAAATTTATATTTAAAGTTAAAAATCTGCGTTCACCGAATTTTCTAAATAACCCAAAAAATGCATATATATATAAAATTTGGAAAATAAACAAATTTTCCAGACGAGTATAATTCTTATTTTTTTTAAAGGGTGATTAAAAAAATGCAACCGGCTCACTCTTGTAATACTTTTTATCTGAAATATTTTCAGTAAATTTATATATTTAATAAAATTCTTGTGAAGAATAATAATTATATCTACGATTAAGGCTAAAGACTTTGGTTTTCTGTTTTAATATAAAAAAAATCTTCCTTTCCATTTTTCTTTAAAAAGAAGTCAATATTTTGATTATATTTTTTTATTTTACTGTGAGAATTTTTTTACAAGAATTCGTATTTCATATTCATAATTTATTTTACTAAGACGACCGAGAAAAAATATTTTACTTAAAACTATAAATTAATTTTTCATAACTATAAAACATGAAGATATCAATAACATTAGAAAATAAAAACTTTAAATAATTTCAAAAAAAATACGCAATTGAAGTTTCTCAAAAAAAATTAATTCCACAGAATTGTTAGTTAAAAATATGAAAAATTGAAATTTTCAAAGATTTTAATCTGAAACCTTTTCAAAATTCAATTATTTAAATTGTATAATAATAAATAATTTATCGAATAAAATTGAATGTTTCTTAAAATTCAATTCCCATAAAGAATTTTATCAATAAATTTTCAAATAATTGAATTATTTCGACGAATTTTAATAAAAGTTTTAAGAATAATTACTTTTCTCGAGGAATTTGATTAAAATTGAATTAAAAATAATTGAATTTCTGCAATTTTTTTCCCTCATTTTTAACATCAATTTGATCCACTTTAATATAAATTTAATACTATCATAAGAAAACAGTGTTAGTAAAAAAAAAATCTCTGCCATACGGTAATTTTGATTAAAATTGTTTTGAGCTGATAAAAGAAAGGAAAAATTGAGGGAGGATGTGCGAGTGTGTGTATGACAACGCTCATATAGTTGATTAGGCACACGATTTAACGAACCATGATAAACCGATTGCACCAGGTGCGCGCATCGTGTAAAGTGCAGAGGGACAGAAATAAACCCATAAGGTACCTACGTTTGCTCCCTTTTTGTGTCCTGATATATATTCCTGCGATGACTGATATTAGAGTACGAGAGAGTGTATAGATAAGGTCAGTGAGAATTTCTGTCTCATGACCTCTTTTTTTTTTCTTTCTTCAATAAAAACGTCTTTCAATTTCCACTGCAAAAGAATCTGCACAGTTTATAT